TGAGCTCAGCCCAAGTCAGATGCTTAACTGACTGAGCCACCCAGGTGCTCTTGGCTCTTCCTAAAAAAGTTTAATATATACCTACCCCATGATCTGGAGATTCCACTCCTGGGTATTTACCCAAGAGAAAGTAAAGCATATGTCCATATTTGGGCATTTGCACACAAATGTTCACAGCACTTTATTAATAATAGCCCAAACTAGAAACAACCCAAATGTCTATGAGAAAGTGAGAGGATAAAAAAATCATATTAGATCTCTACGTAACTCATACTTCTCAGGTAAAAAAATGGAACGCTTTCTCCCCCTTTGGTAACAGTTTTACTGAGAATTCACATACCATATAATTCACCCATTTAAAGTGTACAGTTCAATGATTTTTAACATAATTGCAGAGTTGTGACATCCTCACCACAATCATTTTTAGAACATTTTTATGATCCCAAAACGAAACATTGTACCCATTATCTGTCATCCCCCAAGCTCCCATGCTCCCTGGCCCTAGGCAACTACCAATCTACTTCCCATCTCTACAGATTTGCCTATTCTGGACATTTCATAGACATGGAATCACACAGTATGTGGTCTTTGGTGACTGGCTTCTTTCATTCAGCAAGTTTTTAAAGTTCATTCACATTGTAGTACATATCTGAACTTCAGTCCTTTTTATTTCTGAATAATATTCTATTGTGTGGATATACCACCATTTGTTTATTCATTCAACAATCGATGGGTCTTTGGTTGTTTCCACTTTTGGGGTTCTTTTGGTGTTGCGTTAATTTACTAGCGTTGTCGTAAAATACCACAGACTAGGTGCCTTAAACAACAGAAATGTATCTTCTCACAGTTCTGGAGGCTAGAAGTCCAAGATCAAGATGTGGGAAGGTTTGGTTTCTTCTAAGGACTCTTTCCTCAGCTTGCAGATAGCCCCCATCCTCACCTGGTCTTCTCCCTATGTGCACACATCTGTGATGTCTCTTCATGTGTCCAAATTTCCTCTTCTTGAAAATATGCCAGTCAGATTGGAATAGGGCCCATTCTACAGACCTCGTTTTAAATTACCTATTTAAATATCTCCAGATATGACTACATTCTGAAGTCCTAAGAGTTAAAACTTCAACATATAAATTAGGGAGTGGAGGGACACAATCCAGCCCACAACAGGTATCATATTAAGAAACCATTGCCAAATCCAAAGTCATAAAGATTCATATCGATGTGTTATCCTAAGAGTTTTATAATTTTAGCTATTGCATTTAGGTCTTTGATCCATTGTGAATTAATTTTTGTATATGGTATGAGGTAGGGATTCAACGTCATTCTTTCGCATGTGGATATCCAATTGTCATAGCACCATTTGTTGACGAGATTACCCTTACACATTGAATTTTTTTCATACCCCTGTGAAAACCAAATGACTGTAAATGTAAAGGTTTATCTCTGGACTCTCAATTCTATTCCGTTGATCTATAGGTCTATCCTTATGCTGGTACAATGCTGTCTTGATTACTGTAGCTTTACAAGTTTTGCAAACAGGAAACGGGAATTCCTTGACTTTCTACTTATTTAAGATGTTTTGGCTAACTTGAGTACCTTCCATTTCCATATGGATTTTAGGATTAATTTACCAATTTCTGCAAAGAAGCCACCTAGTTTTTTTTAATTTTTTTTTTTAGTGTTTATTCATTTTTCAGAGAGAGAGAGAGAGAGAGAGAGAGAGAGAGAGCAGGGGAGGGGCAGAGGGAGAGAGACAGACAGAATCTGAAGCAGGTTCCAGGCTCTGAGCTATCATCACAGAACCTGATGCGGGGCTCGAACTCATGAGCTGTGAGATCATGACCTGAGACAAAGTCAGACACTTAACTGACTGAGCCACCTAGGTGCCCGCCAGCTGTGTTTTTGATAGGGATTGTGTTGAATCTGTAGATCAATTTGGGGAGTATTGCTAACTTAATATTAAGTCTTCCAATTCATGAACATGAATGTCTTTCCATTTATTTAGATTTCTTCAATTTTCTTCAACAATGTTTTGTAGTTTTCAGAGTATAAGTCTTGGACTTCTTTTAAGTTTATTCCTAAGTATTGTCTTCTGATGCTATTATAAATGAAACTGTTTTCTTAGTTTCATTTTTTGATTGTTCCTTGCAAATGTATGGAAGAACAATTGATTTTCATCTATCGATTTTGTATTCTGCAACCTTGCTGAATGTGTTTATTCTACATGTGCATGCGTGCACGCGTGTGTGTGTGTGTGTGTGTGTGTGTGTGAGAGAGAGAGAGAGAGAGAGAGAAAGAGAGAGAGTATACCTTAGGATTTTCTACATACAAGATCATGTAGGAATGAATTCAATACATACAGCAAATAAAAATATAGAAAGCCAGGTACAAAAGAGCACACATGTATGATTACATTTAAATGAGGTTCAAGAACAGGAAAACTAACCTATGGTGATAGAAGTCAGAACAGTGATATCCTCAGGACAGGGGATGGGAAAGTAGTGGCTGGAAAGGGACCTGAGATTTTGGGGGGTGATGAAAATATTCTATATCTTGAACTGGGTGGTAGTTATATAGGTATATACACGTGTTCAAACTTCTTGAGCCAACACTTAGGCTTTATGCATTTGACTGCTAGCAAATTATACTTCAATTTAAAAAAAAGACACAAGGATGAAATTAACTATTTTAAAATGTAGTGGCCTAATAGTATCATTACCTAATTATCTCAAGCCCTTTGTATACATAGAGATTAGTTTATCATTAGTGATATACAGAATAAAGCCAGAATTCAAATAGCCTGGCCCATTTTCTTTTTCTGACTACTTATTATGTCTGATCAGATCTTTTATTTCTTTTAACCCCAAGATGTGGCTGATGAGGAGCTTGTACCAGGGATAGGAAATGAATCAGTGCTCTTATGTTCTCCTTGTTCATTAGATTGTTTCGTTTTTAAGTTTATTTATTTTTAGTAATCTCTATACCCAGCATGAGGCTCAAACTCATGACCTTGAGATCAAGAGTTGTTCTCTCACTCTCTCTTCCGACTGATCCAACCAGGAGCTCCATTGTTCATTAGCTTTAATCCATAGTTTCTGTGCAGAAACCTCTCTAAGCCACTTGCTTATTTTGTGAGGGTCTTCCTAGTTAATATGATATGTATTATAGATATCATATATCTATCATATATCCAGATAATAGGATATATAAAACTTCCTCAACCAGGGGGTTATAAGATGGTGATGCCTCATAATACGCTAAAAATAGCCCTGGAAACAAAGGTAGGGACCCCTATCAGGCTCTCCTCATTGTGAGAGACCCTGAGTACAAGATGATACAAGTAGCCATCTAGAAGGTTCACCAAGCAAGGCTACCATGCTGATTGGTCTTTAAAAATTGGTAACAATGGAACTGGTAGTACTTTGTTCTTTCCACTCTGAGGTGCATCATTTTGCACACACACCACCTCTCGAGATGTCTCTACTCTCAGCCCCGCTAACCCCCCCGTCTGGTTTCCTGGAGGCTCAAGGCTCATGCTCCTTGCTGCTTCCAGACAGAACACAATTTTTTTTTTATGTTTATTTATTTTTGAGAGACAGGGAGACAGAGTGTGAGCAGGCAAGGGGCAGAGAGAGAGGGAGACACAGAATCCGAAGCAGGCTCCAGGCTCCGAGCCGTCAGCACAGAGCCCGATGCGGGGCTCGAACCCACGAACCGCGAGATCACGACCTGAGCCGAAGTCGGCCACTTAAGCGACTGAGCCACCCAGGCGCCCCAGACAGAACACAATTTAATCACATGATTCCTCAGCCTAAAGATCTTTTGGGCCTCCTCCATAGAGCTCCTCAGCCGGACATCCAGTGCCAGCCCCACCCAATGTCGTTAGCCTCCCTTCCTGCCTTCCCTACCAGCACCACACCAGGCAGCCTCCAGGCTTCTTTCCATCTTTCACAGGCTCTGCGTTTGCCCTTGCTGCTGTTTGCCCCTGGAATGTCCTTCCTGGCCCGCAGATTGCTTCTTCTGCTTCAAGACTGTCTGTAAATCTCACCTCCTCTCTCCAACCTTCTTTCTCTCCCCAAGACAGGGCAGATCCCTCCCTCATCTGCTCCTAAGACACACACTGCAACTTTTTCCTTTTTTGCACGTTGAACTTCGCTTCTCAGCCATAAGTCCTCAAAGGCTGGAGTCTCTTCTTCATTTTTGAAAGAACAAGAATATGGCTGCTTGATGGTGGAATAAGAAGCAAGGTAGAGGGGACTGTGATTCCAGGCCCAGCCTCGGACCTCACCTTGGACTAGATGCAGGAGGACCCAGGTGCAGAAGAAATCAAAAGTTACTGCCTTTTTCTCCCAGCAAACTGACTCTTTCAATACTCCACCTCCCCACCTTCCCATGAAGCAACGCCCCTCAGATTCACTCTACCGCAACTCTAAAGGCACAGCCAAGTGCCCGCGTGGGGAACGAGAGGGCAGGCGGTAGGCCATCACAAATAGCACAGAAAATTCTCCGACTTGGAACCATCTGGGCTATGTCAATAGGAAAGAACTGAAACTTGTCCGTGTTCAAGTGCAGAGGGGACGGGCACCAAGTTCCTGGCGTGCCTGATTCTACACACTGGGAAAAGACAAGAGAGGGGAGAGACCCTTGTATTCTCTCTCTCCGGAGCCTCTCCCACAGTCGGTATGCCATGTAGCTCCAAGTGCAGGAAGGTCCTGTGTTTAGCTCTGACACTCAGTATTTTGCTCCCAAGAAAGGGCTAGGAGAACAACCTAGTAGCAAAGGCCCCCTCACAAAGCACCTGTCCTGTGGGCTGGGCTGGGCCCGGGGAGGAACAGGTTAGAGGTAGATGCTCTCCCCACCCCCAGCACAGCCCCCGGGGGAATCCATTATAGGGCTGCTTGGCTCACTGGAACCGGGGTCAGAATGCCCAAAGGGAATTGCCACAGACTCTCTCTTTTACAGAAAATGTTACAGGAAATGGAAAGAACATTTAAGCTTCTTACCTTAACTTCAGTAAGTGGGGGCTTGATGGGCTTTTCAGATGCTTCTTCACTCTTAAAGAAACACAGGACAAAATAACGTGTTACAAAGGCGTCTTAGCAACTTGCACTCAAAACATATTGATGCTCATAACTTATCAGTCGTGCTCAGAAAGCGACGGTAACTGTAAGTAACCCCGAAATCGCTGAGTAAATTCTAAGATGATTAGCCCTAATCTGGATGAAGCACAGCAGAGCTCAGAAATGTCTTATTCGTGAATTTATTCACATCAGCATGGGTTAGGTGCTTACAAATGTGCAGGTTCTGTGCTGGGAAGTGGGGGGTTCAAAGATGAAAAACAATGGTTGCTCCGCCTGCAGGGAGCCCACAATCCACCAGGGAAGACGGATGAGTCAATCAACAGTGAAAGCGCAGTGCTGAGCTGCTGGAGAAGTGTGGGGGGGAGCTCTGGGATCACAGGGGTCTGTCCCTGTTGAACCATTGGCCACACCGTGTCCCCAAGATTGCAGGATGCAATACTTGCCAGTGAGAACGTGGCCATCAAGTAGCAGCCAGCTGGATGAGTTAGCATCCTGCCGTTTCATACCCCTCTTACAACTTCCCATGCCTCACAGGTTTTGGAAGCTGCTGCCAGTAAGAGAGAGGCCCATGTAGATTTCTTCATGATGGCGGCTGAACGGATAAGGAAGAGGTAGGAAATCGTTTGCGGAAAACAGCCATAATGGTTCTCCTCCCTGTACCCATACTATTCTCTGTCGTCTCCTCCCACGGCGACTCTGGGTTTGGCTGTGTGACTGGCTTTAGCCAGTAGGACGGTAACAGCATGACACAAGCAGTAGCTTCAGCCACGCTTGTGCTCAGGCCAGCCCTCTCTTGCTGCTCTTGGGACTCTTGCAACCACCACTCTGGGGGGTGGGGTGGTGAGAAGGCAAGGAATGCTAAGTGACAGAGCACAAGAGGCAACCCCACTTTCTAAGGAAGGGGCCTGGGGTTTCTAGAAGGTTGCGCAGCGGCCCACAGGCATGCAGCCAGTCCCCGTAAGAATCCGGGTCGTAGAGGCGGGGGGTAACCCATGGATCCTCCCTGAAGGGCAGAGACCATCTTTTCAGCACTTCCTGCCTTGCCTCACCTAGGGCAGGTGCTCGGTAAATGATTATTGTTCATGAACTGAAAAAACTGTGCCCTCTTCTGAGTAGGCTGCTAATCAGAGAAGCTCTGTAGAAATCATGGTCATAGGGAAGCAAGAAAAGGCATCCCAGAGGCAATGCAAGTGACCAGGACAATCTAGGCAAGTTTTCCACTTGGCCGAAAACCAAACAGTCTAGGCTTTACACTGATACCCATGAGAGCAGACTAGCTACTGAAAGGGCTGGAAAGAAGCCTTGCAGATATTTACAGGCTGTCGTGAGAATTGAGCGTAAGGAAACAACGCAAAATACTCTCTGTAGCTTGGAACAACCAAGGAGCCAAGGAGAAAGGAACTGAATGGACCGTATCATTTTTGGTCCTTCCTTAGATTAAGAGTGGGAATTCAGGGGCGCCTGGGTGGCTCAGTCGGTTAAGCGTCCGACTTCGGCTCAGGTCATGATCTCGCGGTCCGTGAGTTCGAGCCCCGCGTCGGGCTCTGTGCCGACAGCTCAGAGCCTGGAGCCTGTTTCAGATTCTGTGTCTCCCTCTCTCTCTGACCCTCCCCCGCTCATGCTCTGTCTCTCTCTGTCTCAAAAATAAATAAACGTTAAAAAAAAAATTTTTTTTTTAAAGAGTGGGAATTCAATATCCAGAGCACAACACTTCTAAACCTGGACCAACTCAAAATAGGAAATAGGAATGTCCTTCGGCAGTTACGGTTGGCATCACACGCCTCACCTGCCGCCTTGAGTTTGTCGTGGAGGCAGAAAGAGCACGGACTTGGAGCCAGGGGGACCAGAGTTGAAGTTCTAGATCTGTCACTGATGAGCTGTGTAAAATTAGGCAAGGAATTTCCCTTTCCTAAGCCTCTGGGTTCCCATCTGAGAGATGAGAATGCTGCCTACTTCATTGGAACTTTGTCAACATTTAAGGAGACCGTGAGAAGAGGCTGGCACAGAGCCGTTGCTCGTAGAAAGTTACGGTAAAGACCACAGACTCCTAGAGACACAGGGCAGTAACCACAACTCACACGCGCCACTTGAGACTCAAACCGATTTCCAACTGCTGGGTTTCTACTCGTGTCTGAGATCCCCGAGCCTGTGCTCCCCTCTCTGGACCCCCAAGGACCACAGAGGACCCGCCGGACATTCCACAGATTGACACTGAACTCCAAGTGCCGGTGCCCAAGGCTGCTGACCGCCATGTGGAGCCTGTGACACTGGCTGCTTTGTGTCACCTCTCCTAAGCAGGCCTGGCCTCCTTTAAACCCTCAGTGGCATCCTGCCTGAGGCTTGTGAGGCCAGGTGGGGGCACAGGAAGGGGACAGTGGGGACCACGAGAGATGGCCATGACATCCCAGACAAATCTCCTGGGCTGGAGGTACTCCTTTCCCAGAGCAGGCAAAGCTTTGTTCACCCTGATTGTGGAGCAGAGAGGAGAGGAGGAGGAGAGAAGGAACAGGCATTGCGGGACGGGGACCTAAGGAGTTTTCAGGTTTATGCATTTAGTGGCCGCCCCTGCTCACTGTAACCGGTCAGGTTTCAAAGGTGACACTGAGTTTCCACTTGGGTGTGAGAAGCGGGGTCAAATTCAATTCTCTCAAAGCCCTGCGAGGTAGGAAGGATGTGGGGCTGGACGTTGCAAAGCCCTCCTTAGAGGTGATGAAGGGGGCCTTTTCAAGCTGGGCCCAGAGGACTGAGGGAAAGTTGCCTGCCCCCCCACCCCGGCCCCTCACATGGAGGGAACAGCAGCTGCTTGAGTTTGTGGTCCCTCCTCCCCACTTTCACATGCTATCTGGGAGCTAATTTGTCACCCACGCACTGACCAGGGAAGTCTTCTCAGCAGTGACTGACATGCTGCTCTGGGGGAATTGTGTCCCCGGGGCATTCCTTAAGGCCCAGCTGTGTGTTTGTCGCTGGGCTTAAACCACATGGTACCTCGATTTCCCAGACTGTAAAAGGGGGAGCATCGGTAGTCCTTGCCCCAGAGGGACCCTCTGCAGCACAGGTTAACTGAAAATGAGCCAGCTACTCAGAACATCATTTGTCCCATAAACATTTTCCAAGGTTTGTTTCAACATCCAGGGGAGGAGCTGGGCTCTCTGTAAGAGGCAAGGATGGGTTTCTGCTTTTACAGGGCCATGGAAGGCTTCTCTTAGAAAAGGCCACACTCCTGTTCTCGACACACATTCATGACTTCGCAGCGTAACGATCTAAGAAGTGATTAACAGAGGGGTTACGTGAATGACCCCCTGGGCTCCCCTTGGTCAGGACCTATCTGGCCCAGGTAAAAATTAAACTGCACAGAGAGTCAGAGGCTGGATCTGAGGGCCTCCTGCCTCATCCCATAACATGTCTCTGCTGTGCTCCTGGTCTGGGTTTCCATCCTATAAAGTGGACCCCGACCTAACAGCCTGCGGGAGGGTGGGCCGGGCTGCGCGGTGCAAGTGGCCACGTGAAGTTAGAGAAAAGCAAGGGGAGAGCTTACGCATCCTCGCTGGCAGCTCTGCCCCATGGTGGGCACCTGCTATGCCCGGGTTCTTCCTTCTCTTCTGGTTCTTTCTTCTCTTCTGCTCTCAGCAGCCCGGGCTAAGAGGCCTGGAGAAAAGCAAACCCAAAGGAGGAAGAGTCAAGGGTTCGTCAGTCTCATTCCTCTCCTCACCAGCCGGGAGGCTAAACATGCCGCTACTGAGGACCGGGGGCAGGTTCAGGCCCCTGTTTCCAGAAGGATCCGTAATCCGAAGTAAAATGTCAGGATACTATTCTAGAAGAAATTCACTGGAGCCCTGTCTGGAGGTGGTGTGTCCTCACCAACTACAGCCTTGTCTACTCTCAAAGAGATCTGAGGGGTTCTTGGGTGGCTCAGTCGGTCGAGCGTCTGACTTCGGCTCAGGTCATGAGCTTGCGGTTGTGAGTTCCAACCCCACGTCGGGCTCTGTGCTGACAGCTCGGAGCCTGGAGCCTGCTTCAGATTCTGTGTCTCCCTCTCTCTCTGTTCCTCCCTCACTTGCACTCTGTCTCTCTCTGTCTCTCTCTGTCTGTCTCTCTCAAAAGTAAATAAAAGATTTAAAATTTTTAAAAATTAAAAATTAAAAAACAAAGAGATCTGAAAGTAGGGTCTTGCTTTCGGGCGGAAATCCAATAGAAATGGACACTAGCCGAGGCAACTCCAAAGCCCAAATTTCAGAAGTGCAATATTCACCACAGTGGTCATTCTTCTCCCCTAATTTAAACAGGGTAGGGCGTAGCTCTGGGTAAAAAAATCACTTCTCTAATTATAAAAGCAATGCACACTCATCATACCAAGAAAGTCACAAAATACAGGCAAGTAGTTTAAAAATTAAAATCATCTTTACTCCTATAGAAATAAGTTCCTTTTAAAAATATTTATTTTTATCTATTTATTTTTTAAGTTTATGTTGCGAGAGAATGCACACACAAACGGGGGAGGGGCAGAGAGAGAGGGACAGAATCCCAAGCAGGCTCTGTGCGGTCAGCACAGAGCCCAACATTGGACTCGATCCCATGAACCATGAGATCATGACCTGAGCCAAAACCAAGAGGCAGACTCTTAACTGACAGAGCCACCCAAGTGCCCCAGAAATGAATTCGGTTAACTTTCTGGCCCATACCCTTCCTTATATTTTGGTCCAGATAACCGCAGGCCAGAAACAACATACAAATGGAATCACGCTCATATACTCTTTTTAAATCTTCTTTTTTCCATGGAAGAAAATATTATGAAATCTTTTCATGTCAATTAATAAAGACCGCATTAGTTTTTTATCGGTTACGCTGGGTAGAGATCTTATAGTTCATACTCAGAAAGGCTTACTCAGGAATGATATAGTAATAATTCAATAAGTGTCAGATAGCCTCCGTCAAAATTCATAACAATTTTAGTAAGTCTCTACCATACCCCGAACAGCTTAGAAATATTACGTGATTTGCCTAACAATTAGCGTGCTGCAGCAAATCCAAAAAGTTCCCTATTTGGGGCCTTTTTAGTTCTAAGAGGGTAAGCCAAGAGTCCAGACTTCTAACCGTTGGCGTAACACTGGGCCTCCAGCCACTGAATCCCGATGGCTCACGGTTGGTGAATTGTGCCCGAGTTGGTCTCGGTGGGACAACTGGTACCCCTGACATCCCAAACCCTCCCTGGCCCGGGTCAGAGGCATAAACGAAATGTGTCAGGTTTCTTTGTTACTTGTTTACATAAACAAAGTTACACTTAAAACTCTTAATTCCATCATCCTGCGTGTTTCTGGGGCAGAAGGCACACAGAACTTGGCTATGATATGTTCTTCCAAGAGCCTGGAAATATCCGTACTTGTCTTATATTTACTCGATAATTACCCGCCTCTCCCATTACAGGATAAACCCCCAGGGTGCACACACTTTGTGTGTCCCTCAGCGCTCAGCACATAGTAAGTGTGGGACACGGCGTTGAGGTCAGGCTGTTTGGTTTGAAGCCCCACTCAGCCATGTAATAGCTTTGACTCTGGAAAAGTTACTTAACCTAACTGACCCTCAGTTTTCTCAGCTGTAAAATGGTGACATTAACAGACATTAATATAGCTGCATAGGAACGTGAGGTATGCGTATGTAAACAGAGCACTTAGGATAGTGTTTTGCATCTAGCAAGTATTCAATATATACCTGTTAACTATTATTGTTGTTGATTGATTAGCAATGTTTTTGAAATTCGAAACAGTTGTGAAAGCAAAAACGGCTTTTACTAGGGGCCATAAATGGCTTATAATTTGTGAGAAGGGAGATGATTCATTTTCAGAAATACCAAATAAGAGCTGTGCTGTCTAGTTAACAACAGGTTTACAATTCATTGGAAATATGTATGAACTCTCCCGCCCTCCCCACACACACACACACAATGGAGTCCCAAACCCTCAGACCCTTCCTTTCCTTGTTCTTCTCCTCTCCATTTCACAGGCTTATTTTCACGGGCTTTGCAAGGAGCAGGGGCCAAAGCACAAAGGGAGGAGGCGCTGAAAGTCTCTGCATCACCTCAGGGAATGTCTGATTGTTCCAGACTACTTTTTGTCTTACAGGGGCATAAACGATATCCAGGCAAGGCTGTAACCTCTGTAGTGCTCGGCCAATGAGGAACCAGGGGAGGGACTTGCAAGCTAGGAGATAAATTGTCTGCTGTAACTGCCCCGAGTATGCCTGTCTGTCAGACACCAGTTCTTGCAAGAAGGTTGATTAAAGCCTCGCTTCACTGTGCTCCGAGGCTCTACGTCCCTCCTTTGATTGGGTTGATGGGCTTATTTCTAACATAATTGAGACACAGCCTGTCTCAATTATGGGGGTGGGGGGAGGGGGTTGGTTTAAAGCAGTGAGTCCAGAGGTGACTGGGTGACTCAGTCGGTTAAACGTCCAACTCTTGATTTAGGCTAAGGTCATGATCTCATGGTTTGTGAGATTGAGCCCTAAATCAGGCTTTGTACTGACAGCACAGAGCCTGCTTGGGATTCTCTCTCTCTCTCTCTCTCTCTCTGCCCTTCCCCTGCTCATGTGAACTCTCTCTCTCTCTCTCTCAATATAAATACATAAACTGTAAAGCAGTGAGTCCATACGGAGAGCATAAGACAATTTGTTGGGGTGACAGAAGACAACAGAACTTTTATTTATGACTTTTTAAATTTCACCGTATGATTTTTTTAGGCTATTCTTTGTATCGTACATATTATTTCAGGACATGATTTTTTTTTAATTGAGATAAAATTCATATGCCAAAATAGTCACCCCCTTAAAATATATATATAATTCAGTGGGTTTTAGTATATTCATAAGGTTGTGCAATCACCACTATCTAATTCCAGAACATTTCCATCACCCCAAAAAGAAACCTTGCATCCATCAGCAGTCACTTCTCACTCTATCCACCCTCCCTCCCCTCCCTCCCAACAACAGCTCATCTACTTTCTTTCTCTATGGATTTGCCTGTTCTGGATATTTCACATACATGGAATCATAAATGCATAAATCCCCAAATAACTAAAATACATGTATTGGGGAATGTGTCTGCAAAAATATTTTACGGAGAGGGCACATGACCGAGAAGATGTGGAGAGCCCTGGCTGAGAGTGTCAAACCTTCTTGGTTTTGTCCCCAGCTCCTTTATGAATTTCCAACACAGACACTGACAGGAGGTCACAGCCTCCATCAACCTCTGCCAATTACAACCCAATGGCTGACACAGGCCAAAGCAAAAGGCAATGTAAAGCTAATACACATTCTGCTTTATGATGTATGATTTAACTTTGTTTCTACAAAAAGATGTTCCCCTAAGTATGCTAGATAAGCTAATAGTCAAAGCAGCAGTGTGGCCTGGGACCCAGGTTCGAATCCTTGCTCTGCCACTTACTGAAGCATGAGTTTCCGTGTCTGTAAAATGAGGGCGATAATAGGTGAGAATAAAGAACCCTTTTCCGTTCTGCATTAGAATTTGGCCTCGGGTTAACATTCTAGTTCCATTCCCCCCGGTTACCTGGCAATGTCACCAGCTAGACCCCACGACCTGACCTTTATTACTCAGCTGCTTGCACTCACCAACCCTCGTCCTACAGGTTTTCTTAAAGCTCTTTCTGGCTTATCTTTTAACGCAGGCAAGAGACTTGCAGCCATAGCATCCCCGCTAGAAACTGAAATTACCCCCCAAGCGATAAAGGCTGCCCTGAGGGAGAGCTCACGCCAGTTTGGACTCCCACCTACGACAGATGGACCATGCTGCAACCCGTGCAGTGACCAAAAGTCAACTTTACCTCATCAGGATACTAACATCTCCGGCCACGGGGGAGCACGAGCCTCATTTACAGAACATACAGTGTACGTGTAGGCGTGTTTCCTTAAGGCACATGTGTGACCTTATGCCCGCCCGCCTCTACGTCCGACGACAAGGCTCCCCTTTCTAAATATTCATCCTCACCCTAAATTAAAACAACAACAACATCCACCCTTGCTTGGAGAGTCACAGCTTTGGAAGTTATCCTCCGTGGTTTCTTTATTTGCTGCAAATAAAGTTTCTTTTGTGTGACAACTGTCCCTGTAGCTTCTATCTGTGACTCACCAAGAGGCAAACTCATGCTGGTTCCGTTACAACAAGGATAGAATGTCACATATGTTTCTCAGTAACATTTCTTTTTCTCCCCTTTTTTTTAAAGTTTATTTATTTATTTTAAGAGCGAGAACAGGGGAGCAGCAGAGAGAGAATCCCAAACAGGCTCCGCGCAGAGCCCGATGCGGGCGCTCAAACTAACAAACCATGAGATCATGACCTGAGCCAAAACCAAGAGCTGGGTGCGCCACCGGCTGAGCCACCCAGGCGCCCTCTCCAAGTAACATTTCTTGTGATAAGGATGATCCCTTGTTGCTAGGTTGCTCCTGGGTTGGAAGAACTGTAAATACTAGATGGGATCCCATAGCGCAGGCTTCCCTGAGATGACTCTTGCTCTGTCCCATACAGAGACTCTGGAAAATGTCCCTATGGGGTTGTAACAAGAGAATTTGGCTGCTGCCAAGCAGGAGGCTTTTTTTTTTTTTTTTTAAGCCAGGAGGAGTCCTGCACTTGCCCAGTG